AGAAAAGCCTATTCGGGACCAAAGGGAGAGGTTCTTGGTTGCTGACAAGAATCTCCCCTTGATCTCAGACTTTAGACAAATTAAGGAGTCAGTATACAAAAACTACTGAATTGTACAAAATCTCCATTAGTCAGAAAAAACAGTAGCAACATGACAGATGAAGGAACTGGCTCACACCAATTTGGGTTGTGGGGGTTGGCCTATCTGCAGTGAGCAGGAATGGCTGGGCTGGAAGTTGGAAACCTAACTGGAGGCTGCAGCTCAAGGTTCGGATCTTCAATAGAGTGGAACAGCAGGCTGGAAACAATCCATAGGGGCAGAGTGGTTAGCGCATTCTTTGAAAGTCCTTATTTTCCAAACGCGGTCGTAGGATGCTTTCCTCAAACAGGGAAGACAACAATGAAGTTTGCTGCATCTGTTGACTCTTCCTTTCCCAAACAATTTCTCTGTGACATGTGATGCCATCTGATAGCACAGTAGAATCACAGTAGATACCACAGAACTTCTTTCAAAATTGGAGTTCTCCTCTCAAAGCCTGCCTCTGCTTTATCAACTAAATTTATGTAATAGTCTAAATCCTTTGTTGTCATTTCAGCAGTCTTCACCAGGAGTAAATCCCAGTCAAGAAACTCCTTTCTTTGCTCATCCATAAGCAGCAGCTCCTCATCCATTTGCCTTATCACGAGATCACAGCAATTCAGTCCCATCTCCAGGCTCCACTTCTAATTCCAGTTCTCTTGCTGTTTCCACCACATCTGCAGTTACTTCCTCTACTGAAGTCTCGAACCCCTCAAAGTCATCCATGAGGGCTGGAATCAACTTCCAACATCCTGTTAATGTTGATATTTTGACCTCTTCCCATGAATTTCAAATGTTTTTAATGCCATCTAGAATGGCGAATTCTTTCCAAAAGTTTTTCAATTTATTTTGCCCAGGTCCATCAGAGGAATTGCTATCTATGGCAACTATAGACTTCTGAAATATATTTCTTAAATAATAAGACTTGAAAGTTGAAATTACTTCTCAATCCATGGGCTATAGAGTGGATGTTGTGTTAGGAGGCATGAAACCAACATTAATCTCATTATACATCTCCATCAGAACACTTGGATACGTTATCATTGAGCAGTAATATTTTGATAGGAACCTTTTTTTGAGCAGTTGGTCTCAACAGTAGGCTTAAAATATTCAGTAAACCACGTTGTAAACAGATGTGTCATCAACCAGGCTTTGTTGTTTCATTTATAAAGCACACGCAGGGGGCACCTGGGTGGCTCAGTTGGTTAAGCTTCTGCCTTCGGCTCAGATCATGATCATGATCCTGGGCCCTGGGATCAAGCCCTGCATCCGCATCCAGCTCCCTGCTCAGCGAGGAGTCTGCTTCTCCCTCTCCCTCTGCCTCTTCTCATGCTCTTTCTCCTTCTGTCTCAAATGAATAAATGAATGAATAAATTAAATGAATAAATGAATAATAAATAAATAAAATGAATAAATAAAAATGAACAAATAAATGAATAAATAAAATCTTTTAAAAATAATAAAGCACAGGCAGAATAGATTTAGCCTAATTCTTAAGGGCCCTAGGATTTTCAGAATGGTCAATGAGCACTGGCTTCAAGTTAAAGTCACCTGGTGTGTTAGCCTCTAACAAGGGAGTCAGCCTGGCCTTTGAAGCTTTGAAACCAGGCAATGACTCTCCTCTCTAGCTATGAAGGTCCCAGATAGCATCTTCTTCCAATAAAAAGCTGTATCATTGTATTATATGGATGGAGGTTTCTGTGATTTGTCCTGCCTAACTGACAACCCCTACCTGCAGGTAGGCAGGCATGTTAAAGAATGTTGTGAGACTTGTGCTGCACAAGTGACCTTGGGAGCTTCGTTAGTTGACATTAGCTGGCCTCCAGGTCAGACCTGGCCCTTCTGGTCTGGATGCCTAGAACTATAAATTTTGCCTTGCATCCTCTCTAGCCCCCAGAATGGAATCCAGGAGGGGAGGTGAACACACCTAGCCCAGGCTCCTTGAATATGTAAAGACATGATAATGCAGGTCACTCCAAACTGCAGGTAGGCAAACAAATGTTTAACTTTAGACCCTGTCATTTGCCCTATAAATGTGGTCTTTATGGGGATGGTGAGTTGGAAGTCTCCCTGAGGGGAGGATGCTCTGCCCAGGCCTCTCAATCAGCCTGGCCATCTCCACAGGACTCTGAACTCACCTTTTCCCACAGACACACAGAATCTACACCTACATACAGAGTCATGCCTCCTGAGAAAGAACTGAGGGCTGATGAAACAGCTCTGCACAACAAAGAATAGGGACACCACACAGAGAAGAGACAGAGACACAATGATGACCAAAACCCCACACCTGCAGGGCAGGGTAAGGGGTGGGATATCACTGAGTGGCCCGTGCACAGATTCACCTAACCCGGAACACAGCAAAAAAAAAAACAAAAACAAAAACAAAAAACAAAAAACAGTGGTTTAAAGGGCAATTAGACTATAAGTGAAGGAAACCCATTTATGAATCCTTGAGTGTACAACAAACAGTTGGGGAGTATTGGAACTCTCTCTGAGGTTGGAGCTGCTGGTGAGCACCATTGTTTACATTGTCCCTCCACTTTGACAGTGCAGATGGGAGCAGCGACTGGGCGCTCTAGCTAGTCTGCTCCCTCAGGGGGCCCTGGGCCATTAGCCCATATCAGCTTCAGCTGTTCCACAAAAGTGGCTCCCTAATTATGCCTCCTATAGCTCCAGCCTTCCCACCAAGGCTGCCCTGGCATGGAACACACCAGGACACCCCTGGCCTCTGCCCACTCCAGCTCAGCTGACTCACTAAGGCAGCCCAGGCACACAACATCCCAGGACACCCCAAGCCCATGCCTGCTTCAGCTTCAGCCATTCCCCAAAGTGCCTCCTGCATGGAGTGCCACACTTGTTCCAGCCCCAGCTGTCCTACCAGGGCAGCCCTCGCGCAAAGCACTCTGGGATCCATTGGCTCATGCCCACTTCAGCTCCAGCTGCCCCTCCAGGGTAGCCCTAGTGTGGAGTGCCCTGGAATCACCCAGCCCAAGCCCACCACAGCTCCAACCAGCCACTCAAAGTCAAAAGGCACATGTAGTCTACACAGTGGATATTCCCACACAAACCCACTCCCTCAAGACTGGCAGAGGTATGTTTCGCCTGACCCCCAGAAACAAATACAGAAGGTCAGACAAAATGAAGAGATAGAGGAATATACTCAAAATGAAAGAATAAGATGAAACTTCAGAAAAAGAACTAATGTAATAAACAATCTATCTGATAAAGAATTCAAAGTGATGTTCATAAAGATGCTCACCACATGAGAGAAGACTGAATGAATTCGATGAGAACTTCAATAAAGAGATAGAAAATATAAAAAAAGAACCAGTCAGAGCTGAAGCAAACAATAACTGAAATGAAAAATTAATCATTAATTGAAGAAGAGATAAAGAATTTTCCAGACAAACAAAAGTTAAATGAGTCCATCACCACTAAACTGGTCTTACAAGAAATGTTAAAGAGACTTCTTTAAGTGGAAAAGAGAAGACCATAACTAGAAGTAAGAAAATTATGAAATAAAAACATTTCATTGGTAAAAGCAAACATATAATAAAGGTAGTAGATCAATCACTTATAAAACTAGTATGAAGGTTGATGGGGCGCCTGGGTGGCTCAGTCGTTAAGCGTCTGCCTTCGGCTCAGGTCATGATCCCAGTGTCCTGGGATCGAGTCCCGCATCAGGCTCCCTGCTCAGCGGGAAGCCTGCTTCTCTCTCTCTCTCTCCCACTCCCCCTGCTTGTGTTCCCTCTCTCACTGTGTCTCTCTCTGTCAAATTAATAAATAAAATCTTAAAAAAAAAAAAAACTAGTATGAAGGTTGAAAGACAAAAGTAAAATCAATTATATCAAAAAATGAGTAAAGGGATTCATAAAGAGATATAAGGTATGATATATATATATAAAACATGGAGGGGGGAAGTATAAATGTGCTTTTAGAATGTGTTCAAACTTAAGCGACCATCAGCTTAATATGGACTGTTATACACTTAGAATTTTATGTATGAACTTCATGGTAACAAACTGAGAACCTATGATAGATATACAAAAAATAAAAAGGAATCCAAGCGTAACACTAAAGTCATCTATCACAAGGGAAGAGAGTAAGAAAAAGGAGCAGACAACTACAGAAAACAACAAAATGGCAACAAAGTACATGCCTGTCAACTAATTACTTTAAATGTAAAGGGTCTAATGCTCCAATCAAAAGACAGACATAAGGTGACTGAATACTTTTAAAAAAAAGACCCATCTATATGTTGTCTACAAGAGACTCACTTCAGACTTAAAGACACACATAGACTGAAACTTATGGAAAAAGATATTCCATGCAAATGAAAGTGAAAATAAAAAAGCTGAGGTAGCAATACTCATATCAGACAAAATAGACTTTGTTTACTTATTTTTAAATTTAAATTCAATTAATTAACGTATAATGTATTATTAGTTTCAGAGGTAGAGGTCAGTGATTCGTCAGTGTTATATAACACCCAGTGCTCATGACATCACGTGCCCTCCTCAATGTCTATCACCCAGTCACCCCATCCCTCCACTCCTCTCCCCTCCAGCAACCCTCAGTTTGTTTCTATGATTAAGAGTCTCTTTCGGTTTGTCTCCCTCTCTGATTGCATCTTGTTTTATTTTTTCTTCTCTTCCCTTATGATCCTCTGTTATGTTTCTTAAATTCCACATATCAGTGAGATCATATGATAATCATTTTTCTCTGATTGACTTATTTCACTTACCACAAAATAGACTTTAAAACATAGAGGAACAAGGGCAACTGCGCGGCTCTGGGAAGGGCTAGGTGGGGAGGCGGGTGGTTGCTTGCTGGATGCAGCCACAGGTCATGTGACTGAAGGGATCCTAAGGGATGCCGGCCTTCCTCCCCTGGCCTGAGCGCCCAACCGGACCCCAGCTATGGGGTGCTGCTACAGCAGCGAGAACGAGTACTTGGACCAGGACCAAGAGGAGCGGAAGCTGCTGCTGGATCCTAGCAGCCCCCCTGCCAAAGCCTTCAAAGGAGCTGAACACAACTACCACGGCCTGCCTCCCACTCGCACAGATGAGCAGTCCGTGCTCTCCTCCATCCTTGCTAAGACAGCCAGCAACATCATTGACGTGTTTGCTGCGGACTCCCAGGGCATGGAGCAGTACAGCACCCGCTTGGCTGTGCTGAGCCTCAGCCTGACCCACTGGAAGAAGCTGCCGTGGCTGCCATCTCTCACCAGCCAGCCCCACCAAGTGCTGCCCAGCGAGCCCATCCCCTTCTCTGACTTGCAGCAGGTTTCCATGATAGCTGTTTATGCCTACAGTGCACTTTCTCAGATCCAAGTGGATGCAGAAGAGGAGCTGGTTGTACAGTTTGGGATCCCGTGAGGAGAAGGATCCTTGAACAAGCTCTTCTTCTCCTCTCTTTGCCCCATCTCCATCCTGCCTCCTGGCTCCCAGCCTCTCTGCGGCTCACACAGTACCCTAACATAATACTAATCACAGAGAAGAGTGTGGAAGAGGAGAAGGGTGAGGCTGGAAGCCTGAGCAAATGAAGATGGAGCAAGGGAGGGGAGAACGATTTGGGACTGGTGTTCAAAGCCCTGGCCAGGGATGGGGTGGGGGTCAAAAGGTTAGGGCCTAGTAGGTCTTCACAGTCACTGGAAAAATGGAGGTACCACTGTGAGGGTGATCCCTAGGGGGCCTATGGGGCCCCCTTCCTACCTTCTCTTGGCCTCACTCCTGTCTCCCTCTCCCTTGACTCAGTGCTCACATGCACCTCACTATGGTTTGTTCCTACAATATTATTGGCTATATTCCCTATATTCATTACATCTCCATGACTTACTTATTTTATAACTGGAATTTTGTACCTCTTTATCCCCTTCACCTATTTTGCCCACCCCCCAATCCCTCCCACTCTGTTAACCAACAGTTTTTTTCCTTTATCTGTGAGTCTATTTCTCTGTTTTGTTTATTCATTTGTTTCATATTTCTTCATTGATGATTTGCATTTCCCATTTCTATTTCCTCTCCTCTCTTGATATTCCAGTCTCACTTTACTTTTTTCACTTACGATATTTCGCTTTTTATTATGATCATTTTATCCACTCATTCAATCAACATGTTGAAGAGGCTTGGAAGTGAGGGTGGCATGAGTCAAAGCTTTAAGTACCTGCTTGTCATAGTTTTATTTTTCCTTTGGATCGTGGCAATTAACTGACACAGGTGGCCACTACAGGGGTGACATACCGAAGAATGTATACAGGAAACTGTGTTAAGTCCTTTTACACGAGAACGTGCATGGAATGGACTGTATTTGCCTGGCTCTATAAAAGGGTGAGATCTCCTCTGGAGTCGCATTAGCGGATTGCCTGCGACGCCCCTCCTAATCTGAATAACAGAACTTATTTTTTCCCCCATGTTTGTAGCGGTTTTCTGAGATGTCAGGTGATTTTATGTTTAATTTCTCCTCGCCAGTATCAATTAATTTGTGTCTCCAACCTTTACGATCCCCACCCCCAACGGTAAGGTAGGATGGTAACCGACTCGTCGCTCAGCTCGCAGTGCGTGGCGCGGGCGGGACGAGAGAAGCCGGGAGAACCACGACTCCCAGCATGCCCTGCGCTCCCAGCGCTCCCGGCTTCCTCTTCCGGTCTGCGGGCTGCTGAACTGAAAGTGCTGTTCTCTGGGTGCTCCGCGGAGACTGGTTCACTTTCACCTGCGCGAGCCCCCACCGACCCGGGTGGGAAGCCAAAAGAGCAGTGAGACATGAACGGAAGAGTGGATTATTTGGTCACTGAGGAGGAAATCAATCTTACCAGAGGACCCTCGGGTATGTGCGGCACAGGTCGTCTCCGGGAGCAGGGTGCTTGAGGTTGTAATTGCAGAGCGGACACCTCTCCTGAGCGCGATTCCTTTGGCCTTGGAGCCGGCAGGCCCCGGCCTAGAGGTTACCTGCAACGCTCTGAGCACGTAGAAGACTATATTGGCATCCATCGTTAGCCCGACCCGGATCTGAGGACTCCACCTCATTTTTCAGTCGGATCATCACATGTATTTATAGTCAGTAAGGTTTTCTTTCGTGTGCTAATAGGCCTAGAAAGTTCTGCCCCAAAGCCTGCTTTTTAACACCACACCCCTCCTTCCGTTGCCTACTTTATCCCTTTTCCTGTGAGAGACTGTTTAGTAAAAATGGGAGCGTAAACGGTGTTGAGTAAATGCATAGCCGTTTTCTTGGTGCTAGAAATCCCCCCCCCCTCCTTCTTTCCGTTTTTGGGAAATGAATTTAGAGTGTCAACTGGAATGCTAAAACGGAAAGAAACCTTAGAGATTTGCTACAGCACCTTTCAAACCTGTTGTGCCTCAAAATTACCCAGGGTTTCTCGGTTTTGCTTTAAAAAAAAAAGTTAATTCCAAATAAAATCTTTTAAAAAAATGTTAATTCCTAGGTCCCATCTCTAGGAATTTGGATTCAATGCAGGTTTTGTTTGTTTAGGTTTTCTTTCTTTTTTTTTTTTTTTTTAAAGCACGTCCTGTGATTCTGATACCGCTAAATCCTCAGCCTTCCCTCTGTTTCTACCAACCCTCTCCACTGGGCTCTTAATGCTACTTCCGTGCAGCCTGCCTTGGGTTTTGTTGCCTTCCCTTTACAGCTGTCTAGTGTATGGATTAAGAGTTTTAGCTTTGGGATTATGTAGATCCATCTGGTATCTAACCTCTTACTAGAACTTTGACATTGGTTGTCTGACTGACTTTACTGATATAAGCTATGCCTTAGTTTCGCATCCATAAAATGTGCATGTTAATAGACTATACTTCATAGGGTTATGAGAATGAAATGAGTTAATCTGTGTAAAACGTTCAGAACATGGCCTGACACCTGGAAAGCACTGTTTGTTTGCTACTATTGTTATTGTTGATAGATGAATAGCTAGATTAGCACAGTAAATCCTGCTAAATACTGTTTTTCCAAGAGTCTTCAGTAACTCATCAAGTACTGTGAGCTCTAGTTCTGAAATGTTTCTGTAAATCTTCTGCTCCTTTCTGCTCACATCTCCACTACCTAGAACAGTCTATCATCTTTCCTCGTGTGGAATTTTGCAATATCTTGACCACCACTTATAGACTATTCTTCATAAAATATAGCTTTCAGAATCATCCATACTTTGTTTTTTTTTCTTGTTACACAAGATTGGAAGTCAGCTTTACTTACGGACATGTAATTCATTCTAACCTGCATGGTTTAGTGTCATGCTTCATAGGAGCTCCTAAACGTTTGTTGAATGCTCATTCAGTATGCCAGTTCTTTTAGATTCATTTTTCCTATTTTATGTAAATTTCTCATTCTCTCACTCTTAATGTTTATTGACTTTTGAGGCTAATATGGAAAAGTATTGTTAACCCAAAAATCTGCTTTCCTGTACTTTTCATCCATAGGCACTCTAGGGCCAGTTAAAACAATGCTAGTTCCTTTTCTGATTGTCCTGCAAGTATTTAAAGTTGTTCTCCTGTGTTGTCTGTTTGCTCTATAGCCTAGGTATCCCTAATTATAATATTAGCTGCCTTGATGTGATTTGGGATTTAATTCTTATCTCTTAAGAATTTCACGTACTTTGACATGGTTCTTTTGCTGTGGCATCCACAGTATTTCCAGGATCTCCTGACTACAGCAGAGCGGAACTCTGATACTATCTTGTGTGTTCAAGTTACTGAAAGTTAAAGTTCAGTGTAATATCACTTCACATTTTTTGGTGTTTGCATAGCAGGGTTGACTAATGGTCAGCTCACCATCTGCGAAAATTTCTGATCCTCTTCATCTTGCAGACCTAAAGTTCCTGGTGTTGACATTTTTCTGAATCATTAGAGTTAGAACAAACTTCATGGTACTAATTAAGAAGAATAATTATATCGAGCTAATATATTTCCCCCCAAAGTAGTTTAGTTTCTGTAGTACATGTGTGTTTATTCACAATGAATATTTATTCATCAGGTGACTTCTTGAATTTTCCTGAGTATTTTCATGTCTTACTCATATAGGTTGATAAACTTAAGAGTTTGGGAGAATAGAGCCACAAATTTAGGATTGAACAGGGATAAAAACAGTCATTTGACGTTTGCTTGCTTCAGTTAACAAGAGAATATTTCATGTTTCTGTTTATCACCTCTCAAAACTAGTTACCTGGTATGTTGTACTTCTAAGAAGTCTCACATTCTGATTCAGCTTTTCTTCCCTGTGTCATCTTGAGGGAAGAAGTCATTTATCACCACCAGAAACTTCCAGTAACTTCGGTAGGCTCATAGAGATCTTTTGTTCTGTAGAAGAAATATGAAAAGCCTCTAGTTCTAAATATGCATTTCTGTTTGTAGGCAACATTGTCACTCTTTATGTACAACTTCCTATGCAGAGACCTGATAGTTTAATCAGCTAACAACAACAAAAAATGTGTATTCTTTTGCACTTTTGTGCCTGTGTTCTGCCAAGGACAAGAGTCTTGGGATATTTTCAGTGTTTGGGCCCATTTTGTAAGGTAAATGAACTTATTCTGTCTGATCATGCTTACTGCAAGGATGAAATCTTGGGGAAGTTATGACAAAGAAGTGACTATCTGGGGAGGCAGAAAGAAGCTTGGCATGTAGCATGGCATCTCTCCTATTCCTACCTCCTCAGCTGTTTAAGGCGACACTTAGGCTGGATGACTTTGGAGGTGTCTTCCACTTCCAAGAGATGATGATTTTTTTGGCCCATTCCACATGTTATTTTATGATTCCTGCCATTTTGGACTAACAGTGGGTGATCTGAAGAATTGTCAGAGGCAGTGGTCACAATTTTAAATGGCTTCAAAGGCTTGAAGAGTTCACCTTTTATCCTTTATGGAACACTGTTATCTTTTTTCTTTCTGTGGGAGTTCAGCTTGATTACAGTCTCTAAGCCTCCCACGTTGTCCTTTATCAAATTAAGAGTTCTTAATTTTGAAAAGACCCAGTTACTCTAAGAAGTATCACAAGAATCTAATCTAGCTCCTCCCACTTCCCCGCCCCACTGTAACAGGTAGAGATTGGCCATAAAGACAACCTTGTGACCCACTGGGTGTTGACATTAGGATTCCTTGTTCAGGACTGAGGCCTCAGTGAGTTTCAGCAGGTTGCTCCTGATATATTATCTTTAAAGAAGGAAGAGAATCTCTATTTTTCTACTTTTTTTGCAGAGGATACTGGGTTGGTATGATGTTTTAGTAATGAATAATTGGGGGGGTATTATATTTCTGGCACTGTGCTAGTTACTTTATATATTAACTCATTTAATCTTCACAGCAACTGAGTGCTAAGTGATTCATCCACATTATTAGATGAGGAAATGATCTCTCAGAGAGGTTAGGGATTTGTCCAAGTTCTAAAGCCAGTAAGTTTAACCTAGATCTATTGATTCTACTATTCTATATATTACCTTCCAATATAGTAGCCATGTCTAAGGAGTTGACTGCCAACCTTTCTCCTGGCCTTTATTTGATTATATCATGCCTTAAGGATTTGACGCATCTTAAATGACTTGCGCAGTCCACAGTGGAAAGTTTTTATAGTTTGCTGTTGATAGAGTTGAGGGCATACCAAGGTAAGAACCTAAAAACAAGAAACCCCATTAAGTCCAAGCATTTAAGTCTCTACAGATTGGTCTTGTGCTTTGCATTTGACCTTGAGACTGTTGTTACATTTTCTGAACTGTTCATTCATGTACCAAATAGATCTGAGACTAAGATGCTATATGTCTTGCTTGCATGAAGTGTTACCCTCATGGAATTTACATTCCAATGGAGACATTACATTCACATGTGAAAAGTGAAATCTCAGTGCAAAGGATGGTTAAGGACAATGATGAGCATGTATGTTGTCAGAGGGCAGAGGAAGTGTGGCAGGGAGTGTGTTAATCTGACCTTGTGCTGGAAAAGTTCAAAGAATGGAGCCATTGATAAGGGCCAGACTCATCAATTACAAGGTAGAATTTATGTTGGTCTTATAGACAGACCAGTGCCAGGCACAGGGAAGGGTATGGCCTAAGCAGTAATAGAAAAGAGAAAATTAGTAAAGCATATTCTGAGGTCAGTGAGTATACCAGCCTGGATTGAAGGGAGGGTTCACTTAGGAGAGTGAAGGGAGATGAAGTTGCTGAGGTAGACTGGATTATGAAAAGTTATTAATGCTAGTGTGGAAATTTAACCTTTCTCTAAGGTTCCATCTTGATTCCTTCCCCTTCCTATTCATTGATTAAGACTGAATTCAAGAGTCACCTCCTCCAGGAAGCCTTATATAGTCTAGCTGCCTCCTTGTTATGAATATCATACACCGTTTATTGAATGCTTGTCATGTATTGCTAAACTAAGCACTTTGTTTCATGTACTCCCAACAAGGAACAGTTGAAATTACTATTATCCCATTTACAAATGAGAAAACCTTGACTCCTATGTCACGCAATTCTTTAAGAAGTAGAGTTAAGAATCAGGGTAAGTCCATGTGACTTAAAAACCTAGGCTCTGAACCTTCATACAAAGTTTTTGTTCTCTTTAGGCTCCAACTGGACTCTATGCATATCCCTGTCTTAGTGTTTATTTCTACATTTGCTTCTTTACTTGTGTCTCCTCCCTCTACTTCACCCTGAGCTCTTCTGATTCAAAGGTATATACTTCATCTTTTGTTTTCCTAATGCCTTGCTGGGTATGACACAAAGTGGTGGGTAAGTGTTCATGAAATGACTAGGAAAACTGATAAATGTCAGAAAAATAGAATGTTGTTAAGTAAAGAGAACCAGTAACATGTTCTCTTTCAGCTTTCAAAACATCA